ATTACTTTACCTCTAACTTTGCTTTTGCACTGGCTATTCTTGTATGGTGGTGACCTTTTTTTTTTCTCTAACTGTTTTACAAAATTTTGTTTTTCATCAGGTGGATGATGACTTGTGGTTGGATTCGAATCGTGTAAATCTTTATAGATCGCCTTTAAGAAGTTTTCGAGTCTACCTTAGCCATGTTTTAGTGTCATAGAGTACTTTGCTTGATTATCATTATCCCTTTTGTAAACTCATTTTCTACCGATTTTCCAAATGTCCTTGTTTGAGTCCCATTCTCCAAAAATTCATTATTTTTCAAACACATTTTCAATCACACATTTTTTCAATAAAACAATTTTACACATATTTCTAGAAAAAAAAAATTGTACTTTTTAACCACAGATTTTTCAAAGTCTGATTTTCCCATTAATAAAAAATAAAAATAAATAAAATAAAAATAGTACTCAAACAAACCAAAAACACCTTCATTTTGTTGATTCCATAGGTTTCAATTCTTCCAACCAAATTTAGGAAGTTTTAGCTGTTCCTGGTTTTTTTGGTATGTTTCTTTGATCAAAGGTCTGATACCACTCCGTTGGAGGCGAAGGTGAGCTAAAAAATTAAATAAATCAAGTACTCTCACTCACAATGAACCTTCTCACAATTGTTTTTCGCTTCACAACTTTCTTCATACTTTTGCATGCAAACCTAAAATCAAGGTTATGAATTCTACATATTCAAGAATGCACGAAAACATGCATCCTAGGTCTAATACATTTGGCATGTAATAAAACACATTAAGGCCTTGTTTCGTTTAGATAAAAATCATATTATAAGTAATTTAGTTACAAATGATAAAATTTGTGGTTGAAAAGTTGTGATTTTCTGGATCCCAAAAAATGTGTAATTAAAATTAATTGTTGACTTTGACTTAAATTTTAATTAGATTTTTTCAGTTGAACCAATTATGGACTAAATAGATTCATATTTCTTTCTTCAAGACTCAACATAGACAATTATGGAAGATTTTCAATATTCATGAATTTTGTTCAAGATTCATGTTCAGAAGATTAGATTGGCTTGAATACTATCAAGCTCTATGACCTACCTTTATCTTAGTTTGGATCCTAGAGAGGCTCCAAGTGTCCCACGTATTAGAAGGTGACATGTATCAACAAAAGCATTCTTTGCCTACGCAACTCCAACTTATAAAGACATTGTTGAAGATAACATTTAAATGATATACATGTCATCTCTAATCGCTTACACTTTCATAACAACTTGTTCAATACTAGGACGTAGCGCATCTTGATTAACAACAGGATTTTGTTTTCAAGCTAGTTCATGGTCTTCTCTTGATCAAGACTTGGTAATTAATGTAACACTTTTGGTCAACAATTCTTTGTGATACGTCACATATGCACATCAACATCACACCAAGTGTGACAAAGTTAACTCACAATCAATGTTTTATGACATCAATTTTATCCTGATGAAAGTTGGTATGATATCTCATCGTTGGCAATCAAACTTATAAGTAGATCGATTTTAAGCTTTTTTAATGCTTTAACAGATCATCTAAGATGAATCTTAAGTCATTTTCACAATGCTGAGTGCTGATATGTTATATCAGTAGCATTAAGATAATGACATATAATTACTCAATCCAGATCCACCAATAATTAGAATGCCTGATTTAGAATAGATTACTCACTTTCATGTCCTAATTGCCTTCCTGATCCAAAAACATTTTCCAGCTTTTAAGTCATATGAATGACAGGTTTTCAGTCTACTTTGGACCTAAAATATCATTACATATGTTAGTTTTTTAGGAGCTGCTCTTCTATACTTTCCTTCCACCTTTCATGTTTCCACTCTATTAGATCTTGTATAGTTAACAATTGTAAATTGAATATAGTGGAAAAAGAATAAACAAAAGAAAATGTAAAGCTTTCGTTTCCAAAGATTATATAAAAATTAAAATTTTTTTTTCAAAAAAAAAAAAAAAAAAAAAAAAAAAAAAAAAAAAAAAAAAAAAAAAATTCCGATTTCAAAGTTACAACTTAAATTACGCAAATCAAACTATTAAGGAAATATAACATCAGAGAATTTTGAGAATATCACAATATTACAGAAAAATGGAAATATTTTCATATCTTTGCCGGCCCATTAAACTCAAGAGTGTTTCTCAAAACCAACTTGAGCTTAGAAACTTACTAATAGCAAAGACATAGACATAGTAGTCAATGAAAGTTGAGATTTGCTGACCATTTTTACTGTTCATCTAATTGCAAATTGACATACGATGGAAAATTAAAGTTGTCATCAATTTTAATTTTTCATACTGTGTTAATTTACAATTGGATGGACAATAAATTGAACAACATAAATGGACAGCATATCTCAACTAGTCAATGATTTCAAAGTTCAAATCTTGAAAGTAAATAGGATATATTTAGTAAGGAAATCTATATTTCTTTAACATATATGGCAAAAAGACAAGTTAAAATGTCACTAACACGACCAGCCAGTCACTATATTTTCCTTTTGTGTGTAAAGTTTCCTCGAATAGATCAACTTCCACAATTTTATATAAAACTACATCAGATTTGTTATAGATTAGGTATACCAGATATGATACATATGATAATAAGGTACATAAGATCCATCTCTATAGATATCATTATCCACCTCGAGAAAGACGTATGCTTTGAAAAAAAAATTTATACTTTGAGAAGGGATTTTGATCCGAACGAAGAATCTACTTCAACCAATATGTTTTAGCCACGACCATATATCATAAATCATATATAAAATATGTATAAGTGTTTGTATTTACAAGCATATATATGTGTGTATTTTGATTTTAATCCTTAAGTGGTGATTCTTTCTAGGTTTTGTTTGGTAGCAAGCACAGTGCCTCAGACACAGTGCAAGAACAATATTTTTATGCGTAACCAGTGAAATTCATGATCGGAGCATTAAAGATTAATGGCCAACTCGGGAGGGGGGGGGGGGGCC